CAATTCTAAGATCTTGGTGAATTGAATCGTGATATATATACTATATTTTTATTTTTTTAAAATATTTTTGCATGTAACAATAAAATTATATCTTAGTTGTGAAATTTACAAACTATGTCCAACTTAATTAATTGTAATTAGTTTATTTATTATTATAAAACATATAGGGTAAATCACAAATACATTCCATGAAATTTGCTTAAAGTACAGATTGTCCCCTATAATTTGAAAAATTACAATTACCCCATGTCAGAATTTTTTATTTAACAAAATTAACTAAAAAAAATGAAATTCATAATTGTTCTCTTATACAATAATAAAATTACTTATATTATTAATTAAAACATGTTTATAACATTATTAAAAACTATTAATTGACTTGATGATTTATTAATAAAAATAGCGATTTGTTATGAAATTAGAAATCTCACGAGTGGAATGTAATTTCTAGAACTATAGGGAGATATTTGTATTTTAATCAAATTTCAAGAGATGTATATATATAATATTTTTTGTTATATAAAATTTTTAAAACTGTAGAGAGTGAAGGGTGAGATAATGAATGAAGGAGACATTGGGAGCAAGAGGGGTAGAAAAGTAGTGGAAGTTGGGACAGAGGGAAGGCTGAAGGAGCAGTAGAAGTTTGAGAATGAATTTAAATAGGAGAAAAACATGAAGATTAGATTTTGGATTTGAGTTTTGGAGTTTGGGTTTCTGGTCTTGCATTTGGACATAAACTAATTTGGGGACTAAAAATTGACATAAAATATAAATATTAAAGTGTCAAAGTGAGAAAAATATATATATTACACTTTACGGACTAAAGCGAAATACTATAAAACTCAAGTAAGACAAAAGGGGTGTTTGGTGTGGTGTTTTTGAGTCAATTTATATATTCTAGAAAAGTTATTTTGGACTGTTTGATTAAATTTATTTTAAACAGTTTTTTATTCTAACAATTTATTTTAACTCAAAAAAACTAATTCTGAGAAACTGTCAATCCCCCACTTCTGATTATAACAATTAATTTTTGATTTTGTTTTTTGAAAATAAAAAAAGACTAGATGGACTGTAAATTAGTTTTTTATTTTTTTATTTTTATGGAAAATGTGGACTAATAGTTGATAATAAAAAAAAATAAAAGTTCATTCAATTTACATTTCACAAAGGTTATTCAATAAAAGAAGCTTGCCTCCGGTCTTTAATCGGACTGGACAATGATGTTTAGTCTGTGGGGGCCCATCACGAGTCTTGTTTTGATAATCTGAACCGTTTAATGTGTAGAACTTGTCGAGTACTACATATCTGAAAAAAATCATATTGATCGGATATCGATAGTTATGTGATCAAATCAGTTTTGTATAAAAAAATAGATGGTGAACAAATTAACGGTTGACAAAAAACTGATAAGATGAGATATCTATTAATATTCGATCAACGCGATTTTATACAGCCATATAGTACTCAACGAGTTCTATATATTGAACGGTTTGGATTATCAAAATGAGACCTGTGGTTGGCCCCCACGGGCCGAACAACACCGTCTAGTCCAATTAAGGACTGGAGACAAGCTGCCCCTTATTCAATTTACAATTAACATGGGTAAAAAGGATATTTATACATCAAAAAGTTATTTCACAATTTATTTACCAAACACTACTTAACAACTTAAATCTACAATCAATAACTGCACCAAATAGATACAACTTCTGATTAAAATTATAATTTATAATCTGTTTTAACAGTTACATCAATTTATCCATTTTGCCTCCTAACATTTTTCTTTACGAAATTGAACAGGAGTTAATTTTGAGAGTAAAGCTTTATTTGACATCTCCTGTATTAGTACACTTTTTTATTTTTTTTATTTTAATCTTTTTGTCTTTTTTAAGTCATATCACTTCTCTATTTTTTTAGACATTTTTTCATAAAAAAGTAAAAAAATATACTTATTTAGATCATTCCAAACACCCTCTAAATTAGAAAAAAAGGTTAATTACACAAAAAATCCCAGGGTTTCACGCCCTTTTCATTTTAAACCCCAAATTTTCAATTTTGACAAATTAAACCCCATCCTTTCACTCGTATTTCAATTTGGTCAATTCGTCCATCTCTGTCATATTAAACTAACGGAAATCTAGTTAGAATTTCATATTCAAACCTACTTGCTCAAGCATTTGTATCTTCCTTGTCGTAACTTTGTTTTGCCTTATTTTTGGGTCGTTGGATTCACCTCACGGCTTAGTTTTCATTACAACCCTCATATGCCTTGTTTTACATCTTTTTGCGTGCCATTGGAGCTCCGAAAGTTGGCTAAAAATAAGATTTTTATCTTTTTGGGCAAAATTTTTAGATTCAAACTCACATGTTCAAGAATTTGTATCTCCCTCATCGTAAATCTGTTTTGTCTCATTTTAGCATCGTTGGATTCACCTCATGGCCTAGTTTTCATTCCAACCCTCATACGCCTCATTTTACGTCTTTTTGCATGCCGTTAGAGCTCCAAAAGTTGGCCAAAAATAAGATTTTTGTTTTTTTCTCCCTTTCTTCTATCTTCTATCTCCATACTTCTTTCTTCCTTCTTCCTTTCCACAATTATTCACTCTTTTCTTCTTCCTTCATGGCCCTTCCACCGAGCTCGTGGTGGTTATCGAACTTCCGATGGTGGCAGTGCTGTCGAGTATAGAGGTATATGAGTTATGAGAAGGGAAGAAACGTAAAGGTAGGGGAAAGGCCATAAAAGAAGAGGAAAAGAGATAATAATTGTGGAAAGAAAATATGAAGGAAGAAGAATGGAGATAGAAGACGAGGGGGAAAAAAAAAGAGAGAAAAATCTTAGGTTGCGTTTGGTAGAGATTTAGAATTATGATTTGAGAATAGAGTTGTATTTTGAGTTTGTGAGTTTTGGAATTATGATTTGAGTGTGAAAATTTTGTTTGGTTACGAGTTTTGAAAAGAGTGTTGAATTGAGTGATGTGACATATGATATTTGATTCAAAATTTACAACTAATAACTAAACACACAACCAAAAATTCTATTCAAAACTCATAAAAAATTTTAAAAAAATTCAAAAAATATTTTTTATTTAAAATATTAAAATAATAGGTGCAAAAAAAAAACACGAACACTGTTCTGGTTAATCGGCTGGACATTTGGGAGGATGACCGGGTAGACGTGTTTTCACAGATGGGTATGGAATTAATTTTTGAAAACTGTTACCAAACACACGACTTAAATCAATGGATGAAATTGAGTTTAGAAAGCGTAACCAAACACAGCCTTATTTTTGGCCAACTTTCGGTGCTTTGATGACACGTAAAAAGAGATGGAACAAGGCATATGAGGGATGTAATGAAAACTAGGTCATGAGATGAATCCAACGACATGAAAATGAGGTGAAATGGAGTTACGATGAGGTGTGGGGTTAAATCTGAAAATTTTGCTCAAAGAGAGAAAAATCTTGTTTTTGACGAAGTTTCGAAGCTTTGAGGGCACACAAAAAGAGGTGAAACAAGGCATATGAGGAATAGAATGAAAACTAGGCCATGAGGTGAATCTAACGATGCTAAAATGAGGCAAAACGGAGTTGCGATGAGGGAGATACAAATTCTTGAACATATGAGTTTAAATTTGAAAATTTTGCTCAAAGAGAGAAAAATCTTATTTTTAGCCAACTTTTAGAGCTCCAACGACACGCAAAAAGAGGTAGAACAAGGTGCATGAGAGATGGAATGAAAACTAAGCCGTGATGTGAGTCTAACAATGCAAAAATGAGGCAAAACAGAGTTACGACGAGAGAGATACAAGTGCTTGAATATATGAGTTTGAATATAAAATTTTGCTCATATTTTCGTTAGTTTAATATTGACGGAGATGGATGGAAGGGTCAAATTGAAATATAGATGGAAGGATAGGATTTAATTTGTCAAAATTAAAAATTTGGAGTTTAAAATGAAAAAGACACGAAACACTAGGTTTTTTTTTTGTGTAATTAACCCTAGAAAAAATATAAAGTAAGAAAAAAAATAATTTACGAATAAAAAAAATAAAAAAATATACTAAAACTTTAACTTAGGCCTATTTTGTGTTTGGTAGAGCTTTTTAACTATGATTTGAATGTAGGAGTTGTATTTTAAGTTTGTGAGTTTTGGAATTATGATTTGAGTGTGAAAAGTTTGTTTGGTGAAAGAGTTTTGAATTGAGTGGGGAATTTTTGATGCGACATATGATATTTGATACAAAAATTTACAACTCATAACCAAACATACAACTCAAAATTCTATTAAAACATATAATTTTTTTTTAAAAATTTGGAAAATATTTTTTTCAAATATATAAAAATTAACATATGTCAACTGCAAAAAAAAAAAAAAAAAAAATTACACTGTTTTGGTCAACCGCCCAGATGACCGGTGGGATGACCAGTTAGCCTAAATTTTGTCTCATTTGACAGAGTTTTCAAAATTGAGTGTGGAATTATATTTTGAAAACTCTAAACAAACGCCATGTGCAAAACATGGGGTGAAAATATATTTAGAGAAGCTAATCCAACACAGCCTAACTTTTTGACTTTTTTGAATCATATCACTTCTTTATTTGTTTTTTTATATTTTTTGAAAAATTAAAAAATTAAAAAAATCTACTTTTAACTTAATTCTCAAAACAAGCCTTACAAGACAAAGTGTAATTTATCCTAATAATTATTGATATTTGTTGTATATATATGAATAAAGATTGGTAATTCGAATTGAGCTTACCCGAATGGCTCAAATGTGTGCTTACTGATTGACTAGCTAAACAATCATTCGAAAAATCGGTGAAACACTTGTGTACTGTAATCGTCAACTTATCAATCATAACTGCTATTTTTTTTTGCCAGATGACTGGCCAAATAATCGATAAAATAAAATTCGACCCATGTAGAACAAGTTCAAATTCGAGTTCCTTATCATTTTTCATATATATATATATATATATTTTAATTTTAAAATTTAGATGGGGTATGAGCGCAAACACGAAAGGCAATCCCTCGCTCTCTCTCTCTCTCTCTCTCTCCACCATCACACGACATTTCCAAGTAGTGAGACGACGACGACGACCCTTTTGTGTTGGGTTGATCTTCTTTCCATACTCTCTCTCCTCTCTCTCTTTCTCTCTCTAAAAAGCTTGAAATGGGTTCGAGCAGCAGTCGGATGGGGCGCCGCGCATCCGAGTCCAAACCTAATGGGTCGAGGGCTAGGCGCATACTCTCCTCTCTCATCTGTGGTTCCTCTACTTCTCAATCACCCTCTGAGGTATTAACCCCTTTCTTAATTTGATTCAATATCTCTTTAAATTCTATGTTCAAAGTTTGAGATTCACCAATTGATTTCTCAAGATTTACAAGGGTCTCATAGTTCTTTCAATTTTTCAATTCAACAATGTTTTTTATTTTTTATTATTTTTTATGTGTTGCTTAGGAAGTCTTCATTAGGTCTTCTGTTTACTTTCTGGAAATTTTGAACCTTTGTTGGTAATCATCATCAGAACCCAATTTCTTGGCTGATGAATTTCGGTTCTTCACAAGAAAAATTACAGTATTCTCTTTATTGTTGGAGTAATATTGGATAAATGAAAACGAGAAAAACAATTGCAAATCAATCAGAGTGCAAGTGAGTATAAGGGATAATTGTGTCTCCCTTCATTTGCAATTACTATTTATCAAAATATATATTTTTTGGTTTATAATTTATTTTATATCCCCATTTATTGTTTTTCCTATTTTTATGTAAGATCTATAGATGCACGGATATGGAACAATCATATGATCACCATAAATAAAAATATTGTATGGAGGAGAAGACTTGGGGGGTGTTTGTTACAACTTAGAATGGGTGATTATTGGTTATTTTAATTTGGGAGTTTGTGTCAAACTGGTTGGTGCTACTTCTGCTTATAGCATATTAGGTAGAAATAGTTTAAATAAGTTGAAAAATGATGATTAGCTAGAAGCTGGGGAGAAGTGCTTGTAGCTTTTGCTTCATAATTATTAGCTTTTCGCTTCCAATAAGCTGCACCAAACTAACATGGGACGCGATAGTAGAAAAAAGATATAAATTTATTTAATTTAATTGAGCATATAACCTTGACATAACCAGTGGCATAGCTAGAAAAAATTGTCCACTGGTGTCATTTAATTAATTATCATTGAAGTCATTACATCATATTTTTAATTCTACAAAACTTATCAAAATATTTTTTCACATAATATATACTGCAATATTATATATAATAATATTACAAAAGTAATTTAAACTTATCAAATCACTTGCATAACAAAATTTAAGAGTATAATATATTATTACTTAAATAAAATTAAAGAAAATGAGACTATATGATTGTCAATCAATTGAATTGAAAAAATGAGAGAAGAGACAAAATTAATCTTCTTTTTAAAATTTTTTAAAAAAATAAAAATCTTATAAACACTTAAGATTTCCATGTTAAAATAAAATAAAGAAAATCTTATAAACACTTAAGATTTCCATGTTTAGAAGGATAGTTGTTCTCAACTAAGTTTTACTTTTTTGAAAATATAAAGACAAAGCACAACTATTTATACAAAAAATATCACACGAATGATGTTTTAGATAGAAGGCCTCTTTTTGGATATTTTGTTTTAAAGTGAAAGGTTTATATTAAACTGCATATTGTATGAATTTTTCATGTGTATATTATTACTTAGAAAAATGACACCACGATGTTAATTACGTCAATAATACTATAGTTACTCTATTTTTATATCATATTTTATTTATTACTTAATTCGTCACATCAATAATGATTGTTGTAATGGATTCTATATGATCATATTCAATCATTTAATAGTTATGTGACATTAAATGATAAACAAAACATGTTATAAAAATATAATAAGTATTATTTTACTCTATTTTGTAACAATTTTAGTGGTTTCAATTTATAAAAATCTCTCAAAAATTTTACATTATACTATATAAATTTAAAAAATTTCAATGTTTAGTGGGTTTAACTGAACCCACTGATTTCAGGCTAGCTACGCCACTGGACATGACATAATGGCAAAAAAAGAATTCAGTCAACTATATAATTTGTATAATTTGGTTCGGTTTGGTAATATATAATTTGTTAAAATGGTTTGATATGAGCATATAGGTTTCTTGTGAGAACTTTTTATATAAAAGGTTTCTTGTGGGAACAATTTAAATAGTTTTCTTTTTTGGTACAAATAGATGGCCACACTAATCAAGTCACAAACAAACTCATTTGAAAACAACACTGCCTCATGTCCTTGTTTTACCTGTTGATGCTTCATTCATGGACACTATAAGAAAGATCTTTAAGGTTAGAGCGGGTTGTCAGCCTCTAATTCAATATGTTATTGTTAATGGTAACGATACTTTTTTGTGACTTGTTAATCAGCACCCTTTGGGGTGTTTGTATGAGACATTTGGGGAGAGTGTGGTGTTCAATCTAAGAAGATCCTTAATGCTGAAATGGTTGCAATTATTCAGCAAGGAGATTGGAGATGCCCTAGGAGACAAAATTGGTGTATTCAATAGATTACAACTCATACGCCTCATTCTTTGGGCCTGCTATTACTTAGGATGACTCTGTAAGACGGCTTCCCAATTCTAATGGTGAATTCACTATTGATTATGTTAGGAAGGCAATTAGGGAATGTAAAACAGTTGTTCCATGGTATAAAGATGTATGGTTTTCCCAAAATGTTCCCAGATGGACTTTTGTTCAGTGGTTGATTTTTTGGGAGGATTACCTACCATCGACTAAAGAAATAGGGTGCTCTAAATGATGCAACTTGTGTTATTTGCGGCCATGATGATGCCATAGCCATTTATTTTTTGAGTGCTATTCATAGAGTATTTTGACGCAAATTCTAAGAAGGAATCACATTAATAGGGATCCCCTTCTACTGGAGGATGAAATTCAGTGGGCTATTGTGCATATAAATGGTGTTTCTTTTACTCATTCAATTTACAAACTTGCTATGTCTGCAACCATCTATCAAGTGTGGAGTGAAAGGAATTTAGGATCTTCTCTGAAAAAAAAAGGGAATTAGCTTGATCGAATGGCCGCTAGGTTCATTGCTGATGTGAGATCTAAGTCATGTTCATGGGGGAAAGTGGAGTATTATGGGGAGAACTGTCTCATGTGCTCTTCTTGGGGCATTTCTAGTAGATTTGTTTCAGTAATTGTGTAAATTTTCTTTGGTAGCTGTGTGGGCATTGGGCAGTGTTTTATACTGTTTTGTTAGTCATATACAGGCTTAAAGTACCACAAAAAAGAAGAAGAAAGAAGCCTCATGTTTATCCAATATACATATATATGTGTGTGTGTGTGTGTGTGTGTGTGTGTGTGCGCGTGCGTGCGTGCAGAGATAAAGTAATTGGCCTGGCTAGATTTGTGTTCATAGTTTGTAGATTGAATTCTTGCTGTTGGAATTATGTGTCTTTTGTTAATGGAAGCCTCAAACAACACCCTTGAAGAGTGCTGCTCCACTCCTCCTCTCCTCTTCTTAAAACTCCTCTTTAACTCCTCTTCCGAAAATCCCTCCGATCTTCCCGCAACCCTTCATGCCCTTCCGCTCTGATCTTCCTGCAACCCTTCACGCCCTTCCTTTCACATGTTAATATAATATAATCACTACTACGTTTTGAATATGAAGTGCACAAACTTCAATTGAAAGGCCGTCAGTTATGACACGCTTGCTAATATTCTAAGGTATGATTGGCATAAGTAGATCCTAGAAATTTGTAATAATCTTCGTACTGTTATGACATGAAGTTTTTCACTTCTGTATATTTGAATGAAATTGAAAACTATTACAATAGCCCAACTTTGAAGCTGAAATTGAAATGTCATGTGATTTCTTTTACTGCAGATGGAAGAATATCCAGAAAAATTCCCAACAAGTTCTGTAGAAAATTTGACTCCTGTTAATGATGAATTGCGTAGCTCCAGGACAGAATCATCTTCAATCCTTAGTTCAGAAAGTGAGGTTAGTGGTTCCAAAACTGAAGTTGGAGCCTCATCTGAAGGCAGCACTGGTTCTTTTGAAGATAACTTTGCTGAATATTGTGTAAGAAATATTGAGGCAAGTAACACCAGTAAGTGCCTTTTGGATAGCAAGGAATCAGTTTCTAATCTGGTTAATGCTAATTGTAAATGCAAAGAAGTTTATTTAAATAAGAATAGTGCTACAGCTAGTACCTCCTATGAAGAACAGCCATATCTAGGATCAGTTTCTGTGAATTCAGGGATTGGATTAGATTCAGCTGCTGTGGCCGATGCTGAGGCTGATGCTGATAGTTCAGAAAAAACAACTGAATCTTTGATCTGTCCAGAGGACATGAGTTCACGCAGTGCAGCCCAGGAGCATCCTGCTGAGAATTCTGTTGAAGACCAAGTGAACTCAGTCACGAACCTTAATGCTTCTTCTGGGTCTCTTTCTGATTCTCTATCAAGTCTTCAGTTTGGAGACAATACTGCTCAAGTGCCAATACCTCCTGCTTCAGGCTTTCTTGTGTCTGACAGTGATCAGGGTCCGAGAACTGGTAGTGTACTTCAAGTTGATGTGGTGAGTATCTCGACCAACATTTTATCTAATAGCATTGCTGAAATAAGTAACCGTGAGGAAAGAAGGAATAGTAGAAGAAGACTATTTTGGGATGCTTTACCAAGACGCAGTTTTAGCAGGCATAATGATTCCCCCACTATAGTTATCGCAACAGGTCATGCTGATGATCTAAGATCTCACGACAGATGGGTACTTGATTTGAGTGGTGATCTTCATTATGATGGAGTTGGCCGTGAGTCTGAATACCTGGGCACTAGAAGGCATCGCAGTATTGAACGACGACGGCAATTAAGATCCGAGGTGATATCTTGAATAATTTGTTCTGATTTTAATTTGAATAACCAAACATCCTTGCAGAATATTTGGGAATCTAAAATCTTGCTGACTTGCGAAGAAAAAAAAAAATGTATATATATATATATATATTTATGTTACACCAAATAATGAAAAAATCATATTTAAAAGTCTCAAACTTCTATCCAGAAATTGTTGCTCGGGCAAAAATCCCTGGAATTTTGAAACCCAGAAGGATGTGTATCTCATTTAATGTTGGGCCATTCTGGTCTTTTGAAGTAAAAGTGTTACCATAGTTGTTAACGCATGCCTAAACCCCAAAAAGCCCCAGGTTCTTGAAGGCTCCATGAAAGCATCTCACTTTATTCTAGGTCAGTTCTCTTTAGTTAGGCCTACATAAAGCCCTGAAGCACGCTCCCTTTAGTAGGCTTCAGGCCCAAGAATAACGAACCTTTTCTTTAATTATCTAATCACATCTTTGTCTTTATCTTCTTATTTTGAATGGTCACTTATTGATAGACCTTGTATCGTATTCAGTCTTATAGAAGACAATGTTTTGTGCAATCATATTTGGTATTTTGTATTGTAGATTTAGGAGCTTGGGGTTGACCACTTGAAGTAGAATTATTGCGAATTTGCAGATGGATATTTGATTACCAATTGAATAGTTTTGAATGTATATTGATCTCTCTCTTAACTTGATATGCCAAAGAATTTATCTGTGTTGCGTATTTCAAATTGCTTTTCAGTTGTAAGTATGTTCAATATTCATGCTTATCACACATGTTCCTTATTTCACTCAGACTCACGCTTTATGTTGCATCTTGCACTTGGGCTCTAGGAGACCTTGACACCTTAGTGCTTCTTGAGCCTTTAACAACTAGAAGTGCAACTGACATTGTTGGTGGAAGTAACTTGCGTGATTTATAAGACATCAATATGTTTTTATAAGTGTTTGACCAATGCATATTATATTTGCTGCTTTTAAAAACGAACAAATTTTCTGTGGAATCTATGAGGTTAACTCAATTTCCCTTCTATCAATTAATGTTTTAAAAAATATGTCCTATGGATTAAAACCACTGCTGCATTAACTCAGGGCTTCTACTTTTTTCCTCCATTGAGGTGAGCTTTTTAGGGATCCATTGTCTTGTGTGGCATCCATTTTATATTTGCTGTTTCATGGTGCATATATCCCATCCCTTATATGGTACCTGTTGTCCCTCTGATGTCTTGGAAGCTTAAAACTGGATATTGGTTAGTGAATTTGATGATTCCATTTGGCTTGTATTATATTTCTAAATTTGTTGAGCAGTCATGAATTTTTGTTGTTGTTGAGAAAGTCAATGTGGTTTTAAGGCCTTGTTTGGGAAGTTGGCTATTTTAGTAAGCTATTTTAGTTTTTGATTATTTTAGTAGGCTAAAATATTTGTGTTTGGGAAGATGGTTAGATTTTTTTGTAGTTGGATGTGATGTTTGTGAGAGAAAAAGTGAAATGATTACGGGTTTGATGGGACATTTTGTCTTATTAGCTATTTTAGCTTATTTTGTCTTTTTGTGGATTTTAGCCCAAAAAGCTAAAAAAATCCTTTGCCAAAACACCCCCCAAGTATCCCACAGGTGTGAAATTGGCTTGTCTATCCAAATCTGATAGCTTTGTAGAATCATCCAGTAATAAAGCAGATTGCAAATATGCATTTGGTTTCCATTCAAGTTCTTCTCTTTGAACCCCTCCCCCACCCCAAAGCACACTTCATTGACTTATATATTTCTTGTTCTGTTGTGCTGTAATGGAACAGCAGAATTGCTTTTTAGAGATTTGCCCTTGTTTCTGCAATATAAATACAGATGTCAGAAAGAATCCGAAGTGGCCTAGATGGAGGTCGGCAAACTACTTTATGTGCATCTGGGATCCACCCTGATGGCACTTGCTCATGTGATTCATTCTTCATAGGTGAAGACTTCAGTACTCTTGCAAGTATGTCACGGATAGTCATGCTTTCTGAGGCTTTGTTTGAGGTAGATTCTCTTGATCACATGACTTTCACTCTGGCTTAACTTTTTTTTATTTTTTTAATTTTTTTTATTATGCTCAATTTTCTTAGTCAGAAGCTAATCATGAGTTAAATTCAATTATAGAATGCCAACTTGATTTTCCATATACCATCATATATTTCTCACTTCTTCAGAAACTGCTTGAACTTTAAACATTGTGCTATATTGACATGTATTACCGATTGTTGTTATTATGCTTGCCATGAGAATATTGAATCCAAGTGAAAAGTTACCTCATGAAGGACCTGGGCAATGGAGTGATACCATGTCCATGAATGTCAAAATCTTCATGAATGACAGCTTAAATTGTTTTCATGAAACATCTGAATCAATCACCAGATGATCTGTTGGTGCCAAATGCCGATATTTTGGTTCCTCCTCTCTTTTCCTTCCTGGTCTGACCTTGAAGGGAGAAACTTGTGGGACACAAAATAGTGGCTTGTTGAAACCTTGCTATGTCAATCACTGTATTGGGTATAAAAGTGTGTAAATAAATCTAGCTGAACCAATCATCTCTAAGTTACAAAATGTTTCTGTTTCGGGGTGGGGAATGGGGTGACAAATTTTGGATATAATCCTCTTAGGTAATAAATGTGGACTCCCAATTGAAGAGCCAGCTAGTGGGGTGATTTGCACCTTAGATTTGGAAAAGACATAAGGTCATGTTAATTGGGACTTTTGCCTATATATTTTGCCGATGATGGGTTTTGTTGAGAGGTGAAGAAGGTGGATCTGGCATTTCTATGGTGAAGTTACTCTGTACTAATAAATAGGGTGTCTAAAGGGTTTTTCGGAGCTCCAATTGAGGCAAGGAGATCCTTTCTCCCTTTTTCTGTTTCTATTTCTGTTTCTGTCTATACTGGAAGCTTTGAGCTAGATAGGCAGGCAAGACAGCTGGCAATGGCTTCCTTAGTGGTTTTGGGTGGGCAGAAGGGATGGAGCCACAATTTTAGTGTCACATTTGCTATTTGTAGATGAAAAAAATGAACTACTTATTTATTTCAAGGACATTGAGTTTACAATATTGAAGAACATCCCAAGTATACCAAATCTTTCATTTTTGGGGCACCTTGAATAAGAGACTACTTGTAGTGAGGTGGTTGACTTTTACTGTTTTCTGTCCGTTCAATTTTGGGCCTTATGGCTTCACTTCACTTATATAAAGACAGGTTGGCAATTTCCAAATTCTAGTGCTGATGCCTGATTATGATGTTCTTTTTATATATACACATTGTGCGAATGTGTTAAAAGATATTGGTAATGCTAGTTGCAAGGAGTGAAGCAATGACAGGACTAGTTAGTCATTTAACATTTTTTTTTTTAGGACCCAATGGCAAGCTTCTTATTAGTGTTCCTGGTGGGTACAAGTTTGAGTCATGGAAACAACTTCTCTAGAAATAAGGGTAAGCTGCATATATCTTGCCTTCCCCAGACTTGGCGTTAGCGGGATCCTTGTGCATTGGGTCACGCCTAAGAAGCACAGACATGGATATGGATGCGAACAAGGACACGGATGTGGACGCAGGGAACGGGGCATGGCAATTTCAAAAAAATAGGGACACGGACGTGGCGGGGATATGGTTATAAAATATGTTTTCATATATTTTTATTTGTTATTTAGATTAATATTACATCCACAAACAATCAATATTAACAAAAACTAAGTCGAATTTTATATATTTAAAAAAAAAATACTTTTAAATTAATACTTACAGTTTATATCTTTTTGTATGGATGATCTATTAAGTATTTAAATTTAAGAAAAAAATAATAAACATTCAACATTCATCAAAGTACTAAATAAAATGGGAAAAAAGACAACTTAGCATGTTCCTAGTGTGTGCCCCGGAAAATAAATTAATTAAATAAGGGACATGCTATGTGGTGTGTCCCATATGTGTCTCCGCCGTGTCCGCATGTTCCTGAAGTGTCCGTGTGTCCGACATGGATACGGCACTTGTTTTGGAATGTCGGTGCTTCATAGGGTCACGCTCTTTTCTTTTTTCATTGTTTTTTATAGGTCATCAAGTATACGGTTATTTCTTAGGGAAATTCTATTCGCACACTCAACGCACACCATTTGTTTTGTTCGGATATAACCTTTCGAACGAAAGGCAAATGTTCGGACATAAAATGATAACAAAAATAATTTTTATATATTTCGTTCAACTATTTATGTTCGACCAATTGCTTTTTGTTCATAAGTTTATATCCGAACATTTGACCTTTGTTCGAAAGTTTATATCTGAACGATATAAATGGTGTGTACTGAGATTTTCTATGACGCGTAAATATAGTTACCTTGTTTCTTATTCTTATGTGTTCTATCTAATCTCGAAGTATTTGAATTTATTCTTGCCATTATTTTGTTTACATGTTGAGTTGATGATTTTAGACTTATATCTCTTTTTGTCTGATCCATAGGTTTTGGACGAGATTCATCGCCAACCTTTGTCTCTTTCACTACCCATGCTCTCAGTCCCTGCTCCGGAGTCTGTTGTAAACTCATTTCCTCTCAAGAATCACAAAAGGTCAAATGCAACTGAAAGTGAACCAAGTGATGTGAAAGAGTAAGGCCCCCCCCTACTTATATGAGGAAAAAAAGTGCATTGTTGTTTAAGTTTTATTGCTTACATGGTTAAAATTTTTCATGACCAAATTTTGGTGTTAGACAGATTAGGTCCATATAATAAGTGCTAACTTTTAAGTGGGGTTGTTGGCTGACATATCATAATGCTAGCGGTGTGTGCACATCTGATAGGTGTGCTAATATTATAGTTTACCCATTTTGATTTGAATATGAATTTCATTAGTTATAAGGGGCTTTGATTTGGAAAAAGGCGAAATAGTGTAAAAGAAAGAAACATGCATGATAATGCTTGTAAGAAAGTGAAATCCTAGAGGAGAGAAAGGAGAGAGGAGAAAAAAAAATCCGTGTAGTGGGTAATTGATATGACCTACTATACGGCATGGTATATTTACAATTGTAGCCTTTTTGTAACTGATGATAAAGAAAAATAGACATGAAAGTTACGTAGATCTTGAGAGTTATTTTGGAGATAGAAATTATGAGACAAAGTGTTAATACCAACTCTGGTGTTCTCATATATAATAGAACAGATATCATGATTCACAAGGGAACATAATCATGTCATGACCATATAGGGAAGAGGTTACTAGTTTTTTTTCTTTTTCTTTTGGTACATTGGAGGCTATACCCTGTAGGTAGGAGGGGAGAGTGTTACTTATGGCAGGACTTGAATTCTTGACTTCATAAGGTGCAGAGGTTCTGGCCAACCAGGCTTAGCCCTGGTTGGTTGGGTTACAACTTTAATTGAACCATGGGAATGGTTTGGCAGTACTTGGTTAGATAAATAACTGAGAGAACATTTCAAAGAGAATGTACAAAGAAGTTGGACAATTGTAGTTTCAAGGGATATGCTGTCATAATTTAATAATACTTTGAAGTGCTAAGTTGCATTTGAAACACAAGTACAACACTTTGGAAAATGTCAAATAACTTGTAAATCCAAAAATAGGTGTAAATGTGCTCTTGTATGTTATTTTAATGGCCAACTCTTCAGCATATCTCTGCTCGTTGAAAAATGGTAACTTGATCAACAGGTGTTACATTTGTTTGGCTGAGTACGAAGAAGGGGACAAAATAAGAGTTCTCCCTTGCAACCATGAATATCATATGTCATGCGTTGATAAATGGCTCAAAGAAATGCACGGGTATTGTCACTCTCCATCCTTTTCAATGCTTTATTTTATTACTCATTTTTTTTTTCTTTCTGTAAATTGACTGTGCTTGGTCTTTTGGCTCCTCTGCTGGTGCCTTCAGTGTATGCCCACTCTGCAGATGCAATGTTTGTGAGGGTATCACCCAGGGTTCTACTTCCAACACTGAAATTCCATCTCAATGATCAACTGTATATATCGATGTAGATAGGTAGACTCTGAAATGTTCATGCCTACTGTGGTGTACCTGAATTTCATTTTCTTTCTGCCTCTGTACTTGTATTATATAGTTTATCAGACATAAATATATATACATACATGATATAGTGTGTAAAATTTTCATATTCTGCAGTTTATAGCTGATATCTGTGTAATATTAATCGCATAGACTTTGATACATCACCATGCGTAATGTTTTTTGGTGTGATGAGGAATTGCCAGCCAAACTTGGAAGATTTGTCATTTGTTTTGATTGGTTCTGGGCTTTGATTGATCATAATTTTTTACAGGTTATGCTTCCTAATTCACAAAGTTTCTGATCGTAGAGGCTCAAAGGCCCCATTTCCATCAATTCCAGATTCTTCCATTCCTAACCACTCCCTCCCTCCCTGCCTCCCTCTCGCTCTCGCTTTCGTTTTTCTTTGTTTTGTTTTGTTTCGTTTTTCTTTCCCACACAATTCTATTAGGCCTCATTTGGCTACACTTACTTGCAGTTTATTTAGCTTAAAATATGAAATTTCATACTTAAGCAGTCGTATGTTGAAAAGTTAGGGTTTGGATTAAACTTTTCAAATTTTCAGCTTATTATCTTTTTCAGCTCAAAAATTTCAAAATGAAGTTAGAAATGTTATATTTTATAAAGTTGGGTTTGAGATGTCTTTTGTTAAACTAGATTTGTTTTTGCTTTTGGTTTTTATTATTTATTTTTTTGAAATTGCAAATAAGTATTGTGGGTTTGGTAGTTTTCTGCTTTTTTGTTTTTTGTTTTTGAAATAGAAAAAATGAAAACTGATATTGAAATTTGTTGGACAAATTCTTTTTAGGAAGTATTTTTAAATTAATTTTGAATTTTTAAAAAATATTTTAAAACAGTAGTGGTGGTATCGCTGAACTTTTCATTGATTGTTCTCGTAGTAAAAATTAGGGGTGTTCGCGGATCGATTTTGTGCGGTTTGCAGTTCGGTTTGGACCCGCTTGCATTTATGCTGTTTGGAAAAAAGTCAACCCGCAACCGCCCGCAGTGCGGTTTGTGCGGATAGGATTTGCAAATGTGCGGGCAGTTGTGGGCAGTTTGCGGTTTACACTTTTTTCTTTAAAAATTAATTTTTGAGTTTTTTTTTTTTCATCGAATTTAGGCATCAGATTCATTTTATATATTTGTGATAACAATTTTCTGATGAGTTTACAAATAAAAATTGAATATCAATGCATTAAATGAAAGTATCCAAAATAAAGAGAACCTACACTAGTATTTTTGCCATGAAAAAAATGTATATCAATGGATTAAAGGTTGTACTCAATTAAAATTGTCAGTTCAGTAATCAATAATCAAACTAGAAGTTCCATCGATCACCAGAAGAAAAATTTTATTAGGAAAAAGTGGATGAATCACCAATGAAAATCATGTAAGAAACCAAGTTTAGAACTTAATAATTCTACGGCATTAAGAAAGTTGAGAAATACTTAAAAATAAGGATGTCATAGTAAATATAATGGTGTTCTTGTAAAAGTTACAAAGTTGGTATATAAAAATAATAATAATAATAACAATTAAAGTGCGGGCGGTTTTTGCGGGTTGCGGGTTTAAACCGCGATCTGCCTGCAACCCGCAAGTTTGTCATATTTCAAACTGCATTCGCCCGCATTATGTTTGCGAAACCGCCCATTTATATGCAGGTTGGGCGGTTTGACCGGTTCGGATAAATCGTTACCCACCCCTAGTAAAAACAAAATTTTTTGAAATAGGGTCTTAACTAGCTCACCTCATCTTCATGGGTAATTATTTTCGGGGCATCAGCTGTTCTGAAAAGTGAATTAAAAGTTATTTTTTAATTTTTAACTTATTTTGGATCATATTATTTTTCATATTTTTTATACGTTTTTTAAAAAAAAAAGTTAAAAAGTTAATTTTTAACCATCTTTTCAAAACAACTTATAGTATGATCAATGTAGTATTTTAGTATTTTAAACCAATCATATAGTGATTTATATATTTTTTTAACGAATAAGAGAAGCTGATTTATCTAATAAATAAATAGGAGTGGTAGCAGATCAGGTTAGGTCGGGTTACATTCCATTCATCATCTATTTAAAATTAAGCGATTGAAAAAATCAATCTACGCTTGTCCACTGGTTTGGCGGATGGGGGATTAAGTGAGCTGTGTGGATTTGGCGGATGTGGATTAAGTGAGCCGTGTGGGTTGACAGATGGATGCGATTGGTTTGACGGTTTGAACTTTACATATTTTGGGTATTTTTTTGAATTATAATTCATTATTTTTACAATCTTTAATAACTATTAATCTAAAAAAATAAATATTATTTGTCTATAATAAGTCATGACATCATGCATGCACATTTTTAAGATATTATTTTTTATTTTCACAAAAATATATATTTTATTATTTTTACTATATGTTACATGTAAACAGTTCCCTTTTTTTTTTTTTTTTACAATAATTGTTACAAATTATTTGATATTATTTTTCAGTGTGATTGATCCGCTATCTGAATCGTATCTGTAGATTTTGAAATATTTCATCTACATCCGTTTGTCGAAAGACAACTATCAGTCCAAAATCAATCGGGGTTGGGTAGGTGAGGCAGTTTGATTCCATAATCACCTCTATAAATAAACATTGACCTACTAAGTGTACCTTATGAAATTTCGTTTATCGGAATTATCAAATAAAAAGGAGTTTCACTAACAAGTGTCCTTGGGGCATAAATTTTTTTAAAAAAAACATGACACTTTATTTGCGCTCTATTTGTTTGGATGAAAAATATTTTTAACAAAATATTTTCACTTTTTTTGCCGTTCAGTACAATGGAAAATAAAAGTCAATAGAAAATATTTTCCATGATCAATGAAAAATAAGCGTATTTGAACGGAAAATATTTTTTACTTTTACAAGGTGAAAAATATTTTCAAGTCAAAATTTTATCAGTGCCACCACATTACCATCACTACCACAACCACAACCATAAACACCATTACCATGGTTGCCGCCACCAACTCCACTGCCTCACAATCACTGCTACTACATACCATCCCTACGTCATTATTACTACCACTATTACCTTTTCTACCTCATCATTACTACCACCACCACCATATTATTACCGCTGCCGCCACCACCACAACCACCACCACAACCACTACATCACTACCACCGCCACCACTGCTACCAAACCACTAATGCAACCATTAGTAAATTAATCTCAAGAACGCAACCAAATATAAGAAAATATTTTCCGTCGAAACAAACGAATACAATATGCTTTTTACTAAATTCAATATATTTCATAATTATTTTTCAATACATTTTTTATATTAATCTCAATATTAAACAATGTCCTAAAAACACTTGTTAGTATTTATCAATAAAAAATACGAGATGATTCTTCAAAGATATCTACTGATCTGTACATGATTTGTAATATGACCTCTATAATTAGTAATAATGAATAGAATGAAAATTTTAGTGATCCCAATTAGGTCTTTTGAACCAATGACTGACAGTTGCAAGGAATTTTTTTTTTTTTTTTGGATCTTGGGAAGGGATTTGTAGGAGGAAAATAAATAAAAAGGAAATAAATCTCTTTTTCAAATTGAGGATCCAAACATAGTAGTATTAACAAGAAATGGGGTCATGATTGAATTAATGTTTGGGGTCATGATTCAATAAAGGTGCTGGTTCTGGGTTCATATATACTTGTATATTGTATACATAAGATGTACTATATACAAAGAGACAACACAGGCATTTACTATGACAAATACAAAACCTTGAGCTTCAAAAAATAAAAAAAGGACCCACATTATATTATATACTTTCAGAGAGCATGCCAAGAGTGCAGATGAAGCAAGCTAGAGAGAGAGAGAGAGAGAGAGAGAGAGTTTGTATGTAGTTTTGGGTCTGTGAGTTTTACTCATTTTTTAAACCGTGTCTCTGAAGGTTGCAGGTCTCAATCCCCAAGTAAAAACTTCGGGCTTGTTTGGTTTGTTTTTCTGAAAAAATTTTGAAAATTTTTTTCTACAAACAAATTTTTAAAAACAATCAAACCAACAAATTTTTCCAAAAAAATCTTAAAATTTTGTTTGGTTGCTTACTTTCTAAAATCACTCTCTCATACACATCAAATCAATTACTTTTTTTAAAACTCTCTCTCCAAAATAATTTTTCAAAATTATTTTTGAAAAAAGACAAACCAAGTAAGTTTTCGTACTTTTTATCTCAAAAACTACTCTATAAACACAAACCAAACACACCCTTCATTTCTCTCTCTGTCTCTCTCTACATAATTACAATGGTGAGTTTATTGGTATATAAAAATTTCTATATACTTGTATCTTTTTGGGAAGCAATGCTATAGATTAAATATGGAAGTTTAAAGTAAGTTTTTGTAATGAAAAATCAATGATTCTATGATAACTACAATAAATAAATAAATAAATAAATATATGATATTTTACTTATCATTTTATATTTCAACAATAGTGTTTTGGAAGGTTGGGATCATGTTGTACTGTAAGGCATGACAAAGATGTTATGTCATTTAGGAGAGTGTGTATTAGAACTACCTTAATGATTCAAGTTATTTTTTTGTAATGCTCATAAAATAAAAATTTAGATTAATTGGATATCGATAATTAAGTGATGATATATACTAGATTTCACACAAATTTTGGTGGGGAGAATGAAATGGTGACTTGTTAGTGAGGTTGCATAGACTCTTAATCAACAAGCAAATTCATTGGTTGAATCGTGACAAAAAACAAAAATTACAAGATTTCACACCAATTTTAACATGTCAATTTAGGTTGAACTCATCTCATTATATATATATATATATATACTGTTGTTTTGAACTTGTGTTTGTGTGAATCTGGCAGGGGGCATGCTCATTCATTGGGGGCTAATTAATTCACTGAAAAGTTCATACAAGAAGAGAACAGAAGAATAGCTTTCTCTGCGGACCTAATAATAATGTTATTTTGTAATCATCAAGGTCCATAAGATATAAGCTATGGTAATAAACCACTTTTTTTTTGGGTTTCGTCTGAAACAAAAATGAAATAAATAAGAGAAAGTGCAACATAACACATGTATTGCTCTATAATATATACACAACGAAGTGATAGGAATGCTTCTCCTTTTCCTTCATTCTTTATTATTATTATTATTTATTTTTTTAATCACAAAATGTTTAGGGTTTTGTCTTCACTAATTCTGTGATTTATTTAGTCTATCATTTCACATATAACAAGTAATTACCGAGCATAAATTCTAGGAGAGGTCTCAAGGAGAGTGATGGAACATTGTTTAGCAAGAGAGCTCAAAACCATTTGTCTAATCTTATGAGAGGATTAGAGCATGAGATTGAGATTATTAATCCGTGAGCCCAATTATCTTATGTTTGTTTTAATATTTTGGTTTAAGATAATTAATCCAATGAATAATTAATCTAACAAATTTGTAGAATTATTAGTAATGGGATAGGTGTGAGATTATTAATCCAATGGATATTAATCCGATTAGATAGTGAATACCACACTAATTTAATAAGATTATTAATATTTCACTATTAATTTTGTGGATCAAATATAACCTTAAGGTTTTGTTTGTTTGTTTTGTTGTTTTATCAGTTGATAACAAATTATTATATTGTCAAACATAAGACACTGGAAAAAGGAACTGCACTTGTAATAAATTGCTACTTCTTTTTCTTTTGTAACAGACAGAGCCGTACTTACATTCAGTTAAAAAGGGAGCATGCCAAGAGTGTTCACAAAGCAAAATGTCATATGAGAGAAAGAGAGAGAGTTTATTATACTCATGTCGCCTAAGACTGTTTGGGAACTTTCAAATGTCACATTTTTTTTTTTTCAATTTTATTACCTTTAATGACCTTTTTTTTAATATTGTGTCAACTTTTTATTTTTTACTTTTTTTAGTTTATTGTGTAAATGAATCTAAAAATTATTTTTTTTCAAAAAAATTCAAAAAACCAAAGTAAACAAAAAAATAAAAAATAAAAGCTACGATTTTTAACTTATTTTTGTCTTTTCTAAATTTTTTTATAGAAATTTTTAATTTTTTTAAAAAAAATTTGGTTCATCTCGTTTGAGTAGAATTTAAAAACCTAAAATTTTGTGAAATTTTTTAAAAGAAGTTCACTCAAGACGAAAACAAAAAAGCCACACAAAGAAAAAAAAAAGAAAAATAAAAAGAAAAAGAAAGTAATCCCCTACTAACTATTTTGTAATTTCGGATTACCACATTATTTTTTATCTCAATTACTCATAATATGTCTCTTTAAGGGTCGGTGGCCTGGGAGTCCCATGGCTTTAGGTCTAGGGTCCAGGGTCCAGGGTCCAGGGTTAGGCGTTTGGGTCTGAAGTTCTGGAGTAATCAAGTTTGTAGATATGGGGTTCATTCGGTAACGGAGTCAGAAAATTAAATCAAAAGGAGCACTTATTGATTATAATTTTAATTTTTTTTTCTATAACGAACAATAAGAAGATAATAATAATTTTTGAATTAATATTAAGTACAAAAAGTTAAATAAATTATTACAAAAGTATTTTATATAAAATTTTACAATTATTTTTGAGCAAAATCGAAAAAAAATATTGCGTGTAACTAGTGCATTATGGACAATGTAAAAAAGTTATATATTTAAGTCTTAAAATAAATTATATAATGGTAAGATAAATCAAACTTTTATAAAATTTGAGTAAAAATTTCATATAATAATGATATCACATCATTATTGACATATAATATTACCAATTAATAGTAAAACAACATATGAATGATAAACTTTACATGCAAATATGACTAATACTCTAGTAATTTTTACATATATATAGTGAGATTAATTATATTTATATATCAATAATGATAGATATTACCTTTATATTGAGATTTTTTCACAAAGTTTTCATATATAAAAATATAATTTGTTGTAGTCACTTTATTTTCAATAAAACAACCACTATTGTTTCATAAATTTAAAAATTGCCATTGGCATTTTATTCTAAATATTATTTTTGTTTAAAATTTTATTTATATACACATATAAAAAAGATAAAAAAAAACAGGTGGAGCACGTGACCCCGTTGGTGACATGGTGGCTCCACCACTAGAGTTCAAGTGCGAAGGACCGACATTCAAACTTAGTTAAGAATGTGAAATCTCAAGTCTAACTTATTTTAAATAACTGATCATAAATGATTGAAATTAGAAGTAACGCGATAATTCAATAATGCGATAATTTTTTTTTCAAATCTTTCAATCAAATATAACGTTAAAGTCGTAAGAAAATTATGCTACTAAAATATATTTTATATAGGATTATGTGTGGATGTTAAGGTTTTGTTACATTATTTAATTTAAAAGGTAATTATCGAGTATTTTGGATATATCATGTGGTCCTTTGTCTAATCAACAATAAGAATAATGTAATTATTTTCAAGAAAAATAAAAATAAGAGTTAATTATCTACAAGTCTTATAGGTCTTATCTAAGACTTTTTAAACCAATAAGTCATATTTAGTAAAACTGAGAATATCATTATTTTTTTTTTATAATTTTTAAAACTAAAAATATTATTAATTTTGCATAGTAATGTTTCAGATAATTGTTTCACTAGCGGATAATAAAAAAAACGGAGCATGAGATTAAATATTTTTGCCTTTCTACTTATTGGTTTAATTCAACTATCCAATAAAAATAAAAAGCTTATAATTTTTTTTTTCTAATTTTAAAACTGAGAACATTATTAATTTTTTCATTTTTAAATTTTTGTTTTAATTTTGCACATCAATGTTCCATCATCATGCTTATTTATAAACACAAAATTTTCAGTTTTGCACAAAAAAATAATTCAATTTTTTAAATTTTTTTTAAAAAAACATAGTTTTTTTTTTTTTAATTTTTTCAATTTGAAAGTTGATGTTTTAAAGTTTTGAAAATCAAAATAAATGTCTGATCATAATGTTTCTTTATATATAATTGTAAATGATGAACAATCATTGTTTGAAAGATAATTTCGACTATTAAAAATTTAATGGGAATTGAAGGTATAAAAAATCTTAATTAAAATTTAATGAAATATAAATTTATAAATTAGAATTTATATAAATGCCCTAAAAATAATTTGAGTATATAACGGTTAATAATTGAACAGGCAAACGGTCAGGATAAAATCAATCCCGTTACAGACTCCTAGTATAAGTTGACCCCCAAGATCCCCAGTGACGTGACAGATGAGGTGGCAGCTGATGTGGAGGATGGGTGCATACGTAGCTGTGAGGAAAAAAAGAAAAACAAGAAGAAAAAAAAGAAAAACAAAAGATGGATAGAGCGGGAACCCAAACCTGTCTCTGCCATCTTCCCTCGTTTGTCCTCACCTGTCGCCGCCAACCTCCTCCTCCATCGTAGCTCTCCGCCGTTGACAATGGCCATAGCTCGCCGGGAACTCTGGCTGTCCTCTGTCTGTCGCTCTCTATCTTCGGCTGTATCTCTATCTATCGCTCTTATCAATCTTCGGTTGCGTGTCTGTGTCTCCCTCGTCTGTCCTCAGCTCCTCTGTCGCTCTTTATCTTTGGCTGTGTCTCTATCTCGCACGTAATCTGGATCGGTGGTTTATGAGGTAAAAAATCAATTTCATTAACTTCCTACAAAAAATCAATTCCATATTAAGTGAAAAAATAAATCTGAAATTTGAATATATGGAGTTCACATATGGCCTTCACATATGCTAATTCTCATATATAGAGTTTGTATATATTCTGAAATCAGTTCCATATATAGAGTTTGTATATATGCTAATTCTCATATATGGAGTTCTCTTTCACTTTAAAATGAGTAAATGAGTATATATATGGAACTGATTTCTCAAAATCAGTTCCATTTGTGAAGTTTATTTTTTACTCATTAACTTCCCTAATTTGAAATTTGTCATTTTGGACATTCTCTAAAAATCAGTTCCATATATATATATATATATATGAGTAATCTGAAATCTGAAATTTGTTATTTTGGAGGAGGTTGTTTAATCTGAAATATGAAATTTGTCATTTTGGGATAGTCACATAATTTGAAATCTGAATGGAGGTTGTTTAATTTTTATATAATCAAATAAGTATTTTGTTTGGGCATTGTTAGGGAATTGATATTTGTTTAATTGTTATTTGATTACGCAAAGTGGAAGATGGAGGTTGATTCAAATGTTGGTGACAATCCTTCAATAAATGAGGGTGAAGAAGTTGTAGAACCTAAGAAGGGTATGTGTTTTAGCTTAAGGGAAGAGGTGTACACATTTTATGGAAAATATGCTAAGCATGTTGGATTTTCTATAGCTCATAGAGCACAACATTTTGGAGATGATGGGCAATTAAAAAACTTTGCAATTATATGTTCTCGAGCGGGGGAGAGAAAAAAGAAATTAGAAGTCAACCCTCTGAAACCATCTTTGTCCAGAAAAATTGGTTGCAAAGCAAGGGTACGAGGTAGTGTATAAAAGGATGGGAGATATAAACTAACCACAGTTAACCTTGAGCATAATCATGATTTGATTCCCACTGACTCACGTCATTTTGCAATAACAAAATTCTTACTCATGTAAAGAGAAGATTAGAAATTAATGATCAAGCAGGGATTGGGGTGTCTAGGAACTTTCATTCAATAGTTGTTGAAGCGGGGGGATACGAGTCATTGACATTTGATGAGCGAGATGTAAGAAAATTACATTGAGAGAGCTAGAAGATTGAGGCTTGGGAAAGGTGATGCCGAATCACTTCAAAGTTATTTTATGAAGATGCAAGCACATAGTGAGAGATTCTTTTATATGATTGATGTTGATGAGGAGTTTTGCATTAGAAACTTGTTTTGGACTGATGCAAGGAGTCGGGCGACTTATGAAGCATTTGGAGATGTCGTTTCATGTGACACAACTTATCTGACGAACAAATATGACATGCCATTAGCTCCATTTGTCGGAGTTAATCACCATGGACAGTCCATTTTGCTTGGTTGTGGATTGTTATCTAGTGAAGACACTAACATATTTGTTTGGCTATTTAAGTCGTGGTTAAGCTGCATGTCAAATAATCCGCCAAAAGCTATCATAACTGATCAGTGCAAAGCTATGCAAAATGCTATAGAAATTGTCTTTCCACAAGCTCAACATCGATGGTGCTTATGGCATATCATGAAGAAAAATCTGGAAAAGTTGAAAGGATATGCTCAGTATGAAGCCATAAAGTTAGCTATGCAAAATGCAGTTTATGACTGTTTGACAAGAGCTGAATTTGAGAGTAAATGAGAAGAGATGCTTGTAACATTCAATCTTTATGATAATGAGTGGATGGGGGTACTATATGATGAGCGACATCGATGGGTACCAGTCTATGTTAAAGACATTTTTTGAGCTGACATGTCAACTACACAATGAAGTGAAAGTATGAATGCATTTTTTGATGGATATGTAAACCCAAAGACTACATTGAAGCAATTCATTGAACAACATGACAATGCCTTGGGAAGTAAGGTAGAGAAAGAGAAGAAAGCAGACTTCAAGTCTCAACACAAATTGTTTGATTACCTAACTATATATGGTTTGAGAAGCAATTTCAACAAGCCTACACCAATGCGAAATTCAAAGAAGTTCAAGGAGAGTTGAAGAGATTAGTTTACTGTCAGTCGTTGTTTTTGAAAGAGAAGGGATCAATTTCTACATACAATGTCCAAGAAGCGATGGTAGTTTGTGAGAAGATGAAGCATGTGGACTTTGTTGTCTATTTTAATTCAACTGAATGTGAAGTTCAATGCATGTGTTGGTTGTTTGAGTTTAGAGGCATTATGTGTGCTCACTCACTCGCTGTGCTTGTGAGAAGGTGCATAAATGAGGTGCCAAGTAAATACATTCTGCCGCGGTGGAGAAAAGATTTGGATAGAGAGTACGCATGCACCAAAACCATATACACTAGCTTTGGGAATGATTTCAATGCAAGTTGCTATGAGAGGATGACCAAAAAATTGATTGCCATTGTACAACTTGCTAGTAACTCTAAAGGCAAAACTAAAATTATAGACCTTGGGTTTGATGAAATCAAGGAGAGAGTCATGAAAGAAGAATCCGGTGATGGGAGTAATTTATCATGTTCTAGAAAAAGTTTGATTCCCACCGGTTCTACACAAGGAGCTACTAGTAGGAAGGTGATTAGTCCTTTGGTTGCTTGGCGAAGAAGTCGTCCAGTTACAAAATGAAAGGTTGCCAAAGTAGATCAAATTGTGAATCGGTTTAAGGCAACGACAAAAAAACAAACAAAAGCAAAGGTAAATTGTGTATTCAAATTTTTTTTTACCAAACTGTATTCAAGTATGTAAAAGCAATTCATAAATTTCAATGTTTAATTATTATTCAAAAAAATACAGGCTGCTAAGTTGCTTCGATTTGAAGCTGAAGCTCAAGCTCAAGCTAAAACTACTACATATACACTGTATTATCCTTATATGGTTGGCACGCAAAATAATATGTATGTACCGATACGTGTTCGAAAGAGGACTTCACATCAATTGCTTGTTTTCACAAATTTTGTTCTTCTAACATGTACTTTTAATTGAACTGTCACAGGTGGCCAATGGTATTGGAGGCACGTCTCATACTCCATCGGACTTTATAAGTGGCACACTGGGAAGTTTGATGAGTGCTCCAACTCAGATTTATGGTTCTGCATGTAATGCATGCACACCAGGAAGCTTGTATATTACGGACATGTTTGACTAGTTTCTATGTATTCGAATAGTCTATTTTCGAGATTGCAACTTATGTTGTCTATTAATCTGAGTTTGAAACTTTGTTTTTGAAATTGTAACTTATGTTGCAACTTTGTTATTGAGATTCAGCATGTGGATTTGTAAAACATGTTGTGTACTAATTATTGATGAAGTTATGTTGTTATTATTATTTGTTATGTAATGAAGATGTTGCAAAATTTACTATTGTTGTATGGTACCAGATTCACTATATTGAACAAAGTGTATTTAATAGTTTCTCTGTAATGAACAATATTTATTTAATAGTTTCTCTGTATTGAACAATGTTTATTGAACAGTTTCCCTGTATTCAACAATGTGTATTCAATAGTTTCCCTGTATTCAACAATGTATACTCAAAAGTTTCCCTGTATTCAACAATCTCTATGCAAAAGTTTTTCTATATTCAACAATGTATATTCAAAAGTTTCCCTGTATTCAACAATGTATATTCAATAGTCTCCCTGTATTCAACAATATCTATTAAATGAGTATTGAAAAAAAAAATGTACAAGTTTGAACAAGTCATTTTTCATTCCACTCACCACAAAAGAGGTATAAGTACAGTAATTAGGTTTCAATACGCAACAAAACATAACTTCCTCTAAAATATCACAGTACCATACAAAAGTGTTCACTCTACTTAAACTTGTATATTTACATCTACTTCTACTTCTAACTTACATAAATTGTATATCTATGTTATTACATCTTCATAAGTGTTAAAGCACAAATTACAAGCAACACGGACAATATATATATCAACTTTTGCATCTTTGTGCTCTGAATTTGAAGTTGTTCCGTCATCTCTCTTTGTTGTTCGGTCATGGCTCAAAGTTGTTCGTTCATAACTTGTTCGCCGACAGTTGGCACTTCTTCTCTTGGAATTTGATGACCTCCATATTCTGAATTCGTAGGCAAAACACCATCCAACAAAACAACCACAATCATTGCAAGAGTAGAATAACTTGTTCTTGTTTCGACTGGTCTCAGAAATTCAAATAGTGGCCTTTTTATTACATCTACGACAATTTTTGTTGACATATGTCAACCGATCTGTGTTATTGCCATTGACACTTAAACTTGACATCTGCAAAAACAGAGAAATAGCAAGTTATGAAGGTTAATAAACTAATGTAGTAAGTTAAGTTAACTGCTACAAGTTATTAATTCGACTGGTTAAGTAAGTTAAGTAAACTACAAGGCAAGCTTAAGTTATTCACAATGCAAGCCTCTGTTAACAGCAATTTCAGTGCTTATGTTAACAACAATTTCAGTGCAATTTCACAGTACAAGGAAAGCTTAAGTCATTCATAGTGCAAGCCTATGTTAACAGCAATTTCAGTGCTTATGTTAACAGCAATTTCAGTGCAATTTCACAGTACAAGGCAATTTCAGTGCCTATGTTTTCCAAGACTGTTTGTGTTATCTACTTGAAAATAGGCAAAAGTGGCTAAAGGTGTTTATTGGTGCTAATGATGCTATTTCCAAGTGGAACCTTTGCTTTAGAACTGAGTGTTTTTTGTATGGTAAGTGAGAGTTCATTACCAAAATCAGATTAGTAAATCAACAAGGAAGATATACCTTCCATTACAAGAGAAGAAAACTCAAACTACAATCAATCAAAATAAATATAATAGTTAATACTCAAAAACATCTTAGGGTATATTCCAATTACTACAAATCGAGATATTAGAAGTAGAAGGCTTGACTCCATGAAACTGAGAAGATTTAATCCTAACATTCATATTTGATTTGTTGGAAAAATTTGGGCTGGGATGTGTTGCAAGCCTTTAAAAATTCTTTAGTTTTTTTCCTGCCATATGTAGTATAGATCATAGTAGACCAAGCAACAAAGGAAGACTCTAAAAACATAGGCACTAAAAACATAGCCATATGTAGTATAGATTATAGTAGACCAAGCCTCTAAAAACATCTTAGTTTTTTTCCTACCAATTTCATAAAAGGGGATCAGATGAGCTTTAAGCTAACAAAAGAAAACTTGGAGGCCTCTAAACTCTATCCAAACTATAATTATACTTCTGTTGATGAGCTTCTTGACATTTGTTTGGTTAATCCTCCCAAACCCAAATTCACTTCATTTTAATCTTGGTGCCACAACTTAATAATTATTAGTTCATGTAATGAGATCTATCACTCTTTGTGTTCTAAAATATAGCATAAGATGTGTCCATTAATAATAGGTGTGGAATATTGTTCCAGGAACAATGCCAAATAATTTTTCTATTAATATTTTGCATTAATTACTTTCATTAATTATATATATGGAATAAGGTTCAATTATTGTGTCATGAGCACTCTATTTGTGGGCATTGTCATTCTGATCTAATTAAGGCTCTAGATAACAGATTTGGATTGTCTATTAATAACAGATTTGGATTGGTTTTTCATAACCTATCAAAAAATTTGAAACTGTAATCCAAATCAAAAGGCCATTTTGATTGAGGAAGCGGTAGGCAAGGTCAAACTCCAAATCAAAGGCTAATTTGATAAACAAATCAAAAGCCCAAGCTCAATTCCCAAATCAACATCCAAAAATCCAAACATTCAACCAAAATTCTTATGCAACATATGCAGATACATTTATACACAGAGATATATACACAAAGCCCTAAATACATAGACACACAGATATATACACGTACGCAGATAGATAGATATATACGTACACACGCAGATCGTAATATATAAGCAGCTATACGTATTAATCGTACTTCGTAGAGGAAAAGAGAGAGTTTGAGTCGGGAGGTTTACCTCTTAATTGTACTTGGTTGGATGAGAGGGAAGCAGAGACAGAGAGAGTCGAGAATCCGGTGTCGGGAGTCTGGCGTCAGAGTCGAGGGAAGGACAGAGTTTGTCGCTCGGAGTGAATGGAATGAGTTGTGTTGCCCTCTCGATCGTTGGAGTCAAGGTTACACAGGAAGAAAGATCTGTTTGTGTTTAGGGAAATTTTGAATTCTCAACTGTGGGATAATTGACACACGTGCATATCACGTGACTTTTACACATCAGCTAGGGGTGCTCTAAACTGGGGGTCCGGAGCATTTTTTGTCTAAAATTTCCTACTCGTCTAATAATTTTTCCTGACTCTAATGGCGGCCGTAGTTCATGAGTTTGTACCATTTTCACACAAGTAAAAAAGTTTCTGTGTCCATGAAATGTACAACTACCACAGCTGCAGAGACATCATTAAGCTGCTGTGAGATGTACAAATTTCATACTAATAAATATAAAAAATAAAAATAAAAAAAATATTTGAAAATTCTAAAATAAGAGCTCTAAAAAAACTAATTGGGGTGTTTGGTGTGGCTTATTTTGACTAACTTATAGCTTCTAGCTATGAAAAAGCTATTTTAGACTGTTTGGTTAAACTTATTTCAAACAGCTTTTAATTCTAGCAACTTATTTTAACTCAAAAAAGCTGATTCTGAGAAGTTGCTCACCCCTTACTTCTGATTGTCAACTTCTGCTGTAGACTTGTTAATTTAAGGTTATACTCTTAAATTTTTTTTTTATATTTTTATTTTTAAAAAAATAATAAAAAAAGACCCAAATGGATTATGGATTATTATTATTATTTTTTATGAGAAATGTAGACAAGTAGTGAATAATAAAAAATAAAAAATAATTCAAAAAGTTATTTCACAGTTTATTTAACAAATACTACTCAATAACTTAAATCTATAATTCAACAGTTACACCAAATAAATTAACAGCTTCTGATTAAAGTCATAATATATAATCTGTTAAGTTATAATCTATACTCTATTTTAAAAGCTACACCAAGCGAGGCCATACATAGCTAATTCAAACAACAAACTGTGAGAATTATCAAATGCTCTAGTTTGTCTTTGCACATGTTATCCTTCTGTTTTTTTTTTATAACAAAAAATATATATATATATATATATATATATATTTTTTTTAGTGAATTATTTAAAAAAAATTAAAAAGTTAAATTTTATTTGAAAAGATGAACTAATTTTTTTTAAAAAAATTTAAAAAAGACAAGATGATCCAAAAATAGTAGATGTAACGCCCCCCAAAATAATACAATAAATACAACCCAAACATTTGTTACATAAATCAGAGTAAATAGTTCTTTCATTACATGCAGTTAATGATACAAAGGGGTTTAACATAAGTAAATGTCCTATCGGCTTACACCTTTCCAAGCCTTGACTTGGTTACAACAAAAGAGAGACTAGCTCATACAAATAAAGCCCTCGGCTATACAAAAATATACAATTAAAACAAAGAAGCTTGCACTCCCAAAGTCCCTCCAAGTTATTGTCTTGGCGGAGGCAAGCCATCAATACCTAAAAATATTTTTCCCAAATAGGGTGAGCCACAGTCTAGTAGAAATAATCTAACATAATATATAAGATTTAACGAAGACATAAGTGCAATGTGCATATACAATGCCTGGGATAAAATATTTACACTTTTATACACATTCATAAAGACATCAAGTCCATATTCCATTTCACTTTCCTTCAATTCATTTCAACACATGAGCCAATTTCATTCTTTCTCAATAATCCAAATTAGACTACAACTCAATAGTTCAACAATTTCACAATTAACACACACACTTCTAACTGTCATTTTACGGATATTTTGTCCGCGGGATTGGCACCCATGTATATGTTTCGGGACTTTCACCCAGGACACTCCAGCCAACTTAATTATAACGGAGTCCATCCCCTTTCTCCTTCCAAACAATCATACATATGCAATGTATTTAAATACATAATCACATGTATGGAGTACATCTCCTTTATTCTCCCAAATAATCATACATATACAAAGTATTCACAATATGATAATATTCAATGATAATCAACCATGGACTAGTTTCAATTCACCTAATCCACATGCAATGTCTACAACAAGCAAAACTATTCTCCACCGATAGCCCAATACAGATATTTCTAAACAGATATACAATATCAAGACAGATAATGTTACCCAAAGGACAACCTAAGAAGGGGGTGAATTAGGTTTTTACAAATAAAAATAATAATACCCTAATAAAAATTATGACTAGCACAATAAATAAATATAGTTAGTGAAATAAAAATAATTAAAACAAGTGTTCTAACAACTATGTCAGTTAATGATTTTAGCATAGTGAAAATGTGAAATATAGCTATGGAAATTTAAATAAAATAAAGAGATAAGGGAGAGAGAGGCAAACAAATTTATAGTGGTTTGGCTTCAACTCGGCCTACGTCCACTCCTCAAGCTTTACTTGAGATTTTTCACTACACTCTAGCTTCACAGGGTGCTAGCAACCTTTTCACAGATGGAGCAATCCTCCACAGATTTTACACAGACTTTCTAAGTCAAGAACCCTTACTGTACTACACGCTTACAAGGTTGAAAAGAAGGTGTTTTTGCTTTCAAAGAAAGCTACAAGAATTATCTCTCAAAGATAGATATAAAAATGAAGCTCTATTTTTTTTGTAAACCTCACACAGGAAAGATGGGCTTAAAGCTATACGTCTCAGTCTATAATTTCTGAAAGAGGATGTAAACAAAAATTGAAGAACACTTCTCAAAAAAAATTTCAGAGAATAGATGAGAGTGATTTTTGATCAAAGAATATTTTCTGGTTTCTGTAACTTTTTTGTAGTTGCTGTAACTTGTTCATAGTTGCTGTAACTTGTTCACATCAGAGGTTTTGGTATATATAATGAAACTTATAACCATTTATAGCCGTTGTGTTCATTTGAATATCTTGAAACTTATAGTCGTTTATAGCCGTTGTATTCATTTGAATATCTTCCACTCCATCATTACTAATTTGAATATCTTCCACTTGAACCCTTTGGCCAGCTGCTGGGCTGGGCTGTTTGAACCTTTGTTTTGGGCTGTTTGAATCTCTGGTTTGGGAATTATTTTTGGGTTGAAATGAACTCCTGATTTAAGCAAATATCAAATACATTCAAACAATATTTAGGATAAAAGTTTAGGTAAGAAATAATGGGATAAAATAAATTTTGATTTTCTTTTTCTCTTTCAAATAAATTAAAACATAATTAAATAAATCATCAAAATAAATTTTGAATTCTATTAAAACATAATTAAATAGATCATCAAAATAAAATTTGAATTTTATTTTTCTTTTTCAAATAAATTAAAATATAATTAAATAAATCATCAAAATAAATTTTGGATTCTATTTTTCTCTTTCAAATAAATTAAAACATAATTAAATAAATCATCAAAATAAATAAGTTTAACAATATCTCCCTTTTTGATGATGGCACACAATGATGTTTTGATTTGATTTGGGAGTAAGAAAGGCTCCCCCTCAAGTCATTCTCCCTGAATTCATTTCTAAATACATAGGTTAGCACATGTGTAATAAATAAGCCTTAATCAACAACATGATATAAGATTAAGATATCAAACTATAAATACATAACATCAGATTAGTTTGAAAATAATACCATAATACATAACATCATAATATATAGCATCATAATACATAACATCATAATGCATAACATCATAAGTTTCTCCCCTCGTGACATTATCAAAAAGGAAATCATGGCTCAAAATCGGGAGGAGGAGGAGGAGGAGGAGGAGGAGGAAAATGATATGGATAAATGGCATCAAAAACAGATAATCAAAACAGATATATATATATATATATATATATATGATTCACCCACCTCTCTCTTTTCTGTCGAAAATCGCGTTGGACACGCGGCCTCGCTTTTGCGTCAGCCGACCGACAAAAGCGAGACGGGTCAATCAACTGCCTCGGCTCTCTCTCCCGCTTGTCTTCTTCCCTTCCGTCTTCTTCTTCTTAATCACTTGCTTCTCCTTCTTCTTCATCATTCGCTTGCATCTCTTTCTACGTCGTCTTGAGAGAGATAGAGCAGAGAGACTGAGCAGAGCAAAAAGTCTGCCAAAAATGACCCTCCTTTTGATTACATCTCTCTTGTCGACCACATGGCCTCGTCCCGTCCCCTCACTCTCTTTCCGGACCTGAATGACCCTTCAAGCGCTGCTGGGCCGAGTGCCCCGACGCCTACTCTTCTCAACCTTCATATGATGTCGATTGAGCAAATAATGACAGCGCAATCAAATATTAAAGCCAATCATTTGACATTAACGTCCTGTATGGAGACGGTGACTGCAGTCACAAAATTGGTTCATCGACTGCAAAACAGAACGAGTGAGCTCCACTAGGTCAACACCCAACTCTCTCTGCTCCAGCGCATGTACAAGGATGCGCGAGCAGAGATTTGCGCACTAAAGGCCGAAAATAAAAAGCTTAAACGGAAGACCACCTCCATAGCCCGATTTGGAACAATGTCGTACTTGGCCTTTGATAGTTAGCGGGGAGTCGTCGCTCTCGGCGAGAACACGGAGGCATGGCCTTCAAGGGTCGCCCAAGATGATAAAAAGAATAAGAGATCGGTGGAAGAGGTGAGTAAGTAAGGTCGGCCAATGGTCGGAAAAATGAAGGGAATTTTTTGTTTGTTTGTTTGTTTTTTTTTTTAATGTAAATATATATATATTTTGATTTGATGTAATCACTTGAAGATGAAAGTAAAAGTGCAAAAAAAAAAAAAAATTAAAATTAAGCAAAGGAAAAAAAAAAAAAAAAAAAAAATGAAAAGGAAAGAAGAAAAAAAATAATAAAGGAAATGAAGCCTATTAGTAAAACAACAAAAAAATAAATAAAAAAGTAAAAGATATTAAGCCTAATAGTAATAAAAAAATAAATTAAAATAAAATAATACCAGCAGAAATTATACTTAATGGGACGTTGGTGTTGCTGGAAGGGTAATGCAAAAAAAAAAAAAATACCATGAGGGTTTTAAAGAAAATCAATGTATGCAAAATTAATTTTATCTCAAGATGCAGAACCCAAAAAAAAATTACACAGTTAAGAATAGCAAACTGTTAAGGATAATAAATGTATGAAGGACTTGAGAGCATGCAACTGATATAAATGTTTCCATATCAATGTAACAATACACACATATCATTTTAATAAAAATTCAAGTTTCATAGTTATAACAAAACTTTTTAAGTAGAAATTGACATTCCAAGCTCGACACGAATAAA